AAGAGTTTTATATGACAAACTAATCATTTTGCTTGACAGTTAATAGCCTGCCATTCAAGAGGAGTTTACATATGCTGGGACCTCTTCTACTAAGTGAGGAAAGGCAGGCAATCGGCTGCTAATCCAACATAAATACCTCTGGAGTCAGTCTGGAGCGTGGCATTGAAATCATTTACAAAACATGAAATTTGAATAGAACTTAAAACCTCATAACCTGTCAGCTCCCAGCCAGGGAAAATATTCAGAGGGTGCCTGCAACTGGAATCTCAGTGCCTGGAAGATTGCCTTTATTTGTCTGAAGCAGTTAGCAGAGAGAGCAAGGGTGCAAACTGGACAACTCTGGCATCACAGAGGTGGCTTTGCTCAGCTCCTGACTCTAACACGGCCTGTCCAAGGGCTACTTCACGTGAATTAAATAGAAAGAATTCACTGCAGATTGCACACATGAAGGGCTGATCCAGCACTGCACCGTGCTCTTCTGAGCCAGCTAGCATGGTGGTAAACATGCGAGTAGTGAAAAGTAGCAGGATCAGGACAACCCAGTGATCTTTTGTCCCTATAGCTCATAGGACAAAGTTTAAGGACAAAGTTTACAGTGGTCATGCCAGCAGAAACACACCTGAAAGGCAATTCTGGAGTTAAGCCCTGAACTAGACCAAATGCCTATATCCTGGGATGAATCACTAGCATTTTCACCAGATTTCCCACCAGTCCCAGCGGGCTCTCTTCAGGCTCATAAAACACAGTTATCAGCAAGTTTTGTGAGGGCACCCAATGTAGAAAGTAGCAACACTACCTAGCCTAGACCTTTGAGACAAGGGCAGAGGCATGTTCCGGAAGCACAAGGCTATGATATTTATCATCTTGCTAAGCAGGTAACTTTAGCCTGAAGCTGGAAACTTTTATCTGGGCTCTGTTTAGAATAAGGAATTATGAGTGAAGATAATAAATTTTATAGACATTGAAATCAGCAGCCAATGCTCATCCTAGGATGGTCGGGTTTATTGTTCCTGAAATCTAAGCTAAGCAGCAAAGCAGTCTGTTTACACTCCAGCCTGTGTAGGAGGGAAGTGTAGCAACCAGAGCAATGCAGTATACAACAATGAGAATATTAAGCTCAGAGAAACGTCACACGGGACCAGATCATCAAATTCAGTGTCAGTACCTCAGAAGCAAGCAGCTCACAGGTAGGAAAAATTAACGTGAGAGATCTCAAAACCCTGGACAGTGAACACATCTTCATTTGAGAGATCTGCACAGAGCGTTAACCCCAACAAAACCACGCTGATTTACATCGGTTTTAATTTGAACTGTCTACACAGCAGAAAGCTTGACCTAGATTGCTGCAAAGATTGAGTGAGGCCTTTGCAGAGGAAGGGGCTGGGAGGAAGATGAGTGAGCAAGGGCATGGTAAGGACAGCAAAGTTTTAGTAAGTATTAACTGAGCCATTCAGGGTGTCACAATAACCTTTTTGAAAGTCTTACTGAACTAATGTAGAGTAGTTGGGCAAAGTTATGGCTGCAAGCACAAGTTGTTAATGTTTGAAACTTTGTGAAGATGATTGTGTGGCAAACGTTTCTGTGAAGAATCCGAAGATGAGGGTAAGAAAGAAACTTGTTCCAGTAAGAAGAGATGTACTTTTCCTCACCTCCAGTCTCCTCGCAACCCTGAACTTCTTAGAAATTTTAAAGAAAAACACCACAGCAACTGTTTGTGTTTCTTGTTCTGCTAGGACCTCGACAGTGAGGTGCTCCCATCATATCCTCCTGCCCCAGCTCGTACAGATGGTGCACTGAGAATGCCAGGAGGCCCCAGAAAAAATGAAAGAAGTCCCTTTAATTTGTGCCTCTTTTAGACTTCTCCCCCTGCATGCCACAAATAGCCATTGCCACTGGGTAGGATTAACACACTTGGCCATTAAACCATAGGCCATGGGTTTTATTTTGTTATAAACAACTTCATACTGAACTCAGTCCTCCTGAGTTTTTAAATTTTCTTGGACTATAAACTTTATGACTACAGAGGAGCATTGAAACTTTGCTTCGCACACCATTAATTTCCTCACTCTCCAAACAGCACAGAAGCCTTGCAGAGTATTTGTCTCAGAGACAGCCCAGCCAGGAGGCTCGTGTCCATATTAGTCATGAATTTTGTACATTTGCACCTCAGCACTGGAGGCCCCGTCTCAGCTTTCTTCTTGGCTGTTGCAACCCATTCTGCCCCATATTTCTGTGGGATGGACAGTTCATGCTTGCACTGACTGCTGGCTGAAGCCCCGGGGTACAGAACTGCAGCCTGGCAGCATTCAGAGCTAAGAGACTCTTAAAAAAAAGCATTTTGGTTAAAAGACATCGGTGATGCATAGGAAAGCTCCTTAAGGGACAACCCCCTGTCCTGAGGATAAAAAGAACTGATCAAAACCCCATAAGCCTTCGCTGTTGAGGCTGTGTGTTCCTCAGGACTGTATGATTACGCATTTAGACAGCTTCTAGCACGCTGCGGAAACGCCTGTCAGGACAGCACTCCTTACATAAATAAAGGACGACAGGTATAAAGGCAGAACAATTCATCTCCTACTCAGGAGATCATGACAGTACAACACAGCAAAGATGGGAAGAAAAGTCACAAATACCAAAGTCCGGCAAACATTTTTAGTTCTACAACAAAATAAATATTTTAACTCTGATTTACCAAGAACAATGAGACTTGGTTTAAAAAAACCCGATAGATATAACAACGTATGCTGAATGTCACAACGCTTTGATTATGTGACTGTAAGTCATGCATGAAACAGCCCAGTTTATTACAAATATTCACACAGTACAAAGTACAGTATAGTAATACATGCTGGGATATAGGCCACTTGCCCTGACTACACTTTCTCCATCAAAACCCAGTGTAAACAGCCAACCTTTATTGATAGGGTTTAATGATATTGACGTGTTACGTGCTTTCTGAAGCTCCAAAAATGACTACTGTTGCTACTTGCTATGCCTTTCAACAGCTGTGGACTCCCCGCTGCCAGTTTATGCTTGAAAGTACATTCTCCCCAAAGCGTACTACAAAAAAAGCCATAGGAATTCAGGCATGTATTGTGGAGCAAGAATTCATATATAAACACCAATAGCTGCTATATTGTAGACAGTCACACAGGTCCAGTTAGAACAACCACATTCCATTGACTAGAAAGTGGAATTTACCTGTGTTTACTTGTATAACAGCATTACTTGATTATTCCCTGTACTCTCTCCTTCCTCCTCCAGCAGGTATCACTTTAATATGTTCTTCACAAAGGAAAAAATACCATTTTGTCCTCCCTTAAAGATCTGTCTCAAGTTATTTATAATGGAGATGATAAAACAGTTTCAGCCATGCCTGTTTGACAGCAGATTTCTCCACAGCTCTTGAAATGAGACATCTTTGCATACCACCAACCTGAACAGCAGTGTTCCTGGAGCTTGTAGAAACATCATTGATCAGCCTGAACAACAAGCCCAGCAACAGATGACTTTTTTTTCATGCCTTCTACGGTCCCCAGCAGTCTTTGTTTTCATTGCACAAAGATATTGCAGTTGATCAAGAACTGCGACGCTATACAGCGGGATCTCTTTTGTTCACTGCAAACATTCAAGAACAGGTATCTGGGCTCGATTTTGGGCCTTGCTACCATCTATTTATGACACTGTTATACAACCGTTTCCTTAGCTAAGATGAATCAATAAAAGGGCCAGGTGTCTGTTGAAAGGGAAAGCTACAAAGATACCTTAAACGAGTGTGGCTTTTTTTAATCACAAGGGTGTTACCACATCTTGGGTAACAGCTTAACCCCATGAAATGTCAACACCGTTTTACTTTGTTAAAATGAGCTTATAGCCTGGAGCTATATACAAAGCTGCTTTGGGGGCTCAAACTGACGTGCTTACATTTGCAAACAGATTTGTTGAAATGCAGAAGACATCCACTGGGCAGTCTTTTGGATGGTCTTTGACAGCACTTTCAACTTCCAAGCAGAGCTCAAACAGACTGCATGTGACCCTGGCCACCTGATGGAAGTAAGCGTTGTCCTGTGTTTTCTTTCATTATTTCACTGCAGTTCAACAAGCACCAAATAGGTGACGTATCTGATCCAATGCTGCTATCTCACTGTCTTCGCCAGGCTTTTGGCGATGAGTGTAATGCATTTGACACCTTTACAAATTACGATATGGCACCTGAGAGGATGCTGTTTATGTGATGCAGTCCAAAGCCACAGGTATATCTTACTAAAACATAAGAACATAAGTAAGGGAGTTCATGCTAGAACTGGTGCCATTAGCCTTACCTTTTCATTAAAATAAAACTGCATAGGCAGCGAGGTATTCAGCTTCATCAATAGGATCAAGGAAATACTTAGCTATAAAGAACCACAATTAAAGCATTCAGAACTTGGATTCCCATCTTTGAAGCGGGCATTGTCTAAGAATTCAACATACTTCTTGTCAAATATATCCAATTCGGAACATGAGAGGGCCTATACCATTTACAATTGTACGAAAAAAGCAATTTTGCTGGCAAATCCATGTCTTCCTCCTCCACAACACATAGAATATAGTCACTATTTTACTTCCCCTCTCAATCCTTCATTTACAAACTCAAACACCCCACAATCAATCCCAAAAGACCTGCTGATTACAAGTGCCATTGTGAAATAAGGTTATGACGTAACAAATTCCAAATCTTGGTCTACTGTTCAGTGAGCATCTGGTGAAGCACAAATTAAGTATTACGGAATGAGTTTCTGATTTATAAAAGTACACTTTTATGATGAACGAACTGGTGTGGACCTTGAAAAGCGGTAGCCTCTGAAAGACAGCTGACCTATCTGTGGAAGGAAAGGCTCTTTGCTTGTTTGAAAAGACACCAACCGTTACAGGAAGCAGTCCTCAAGAGTCAAAGTAAAAGTTTCTTCAAATATACACTGCAAGGCTCTAACTCATATCCTTCCCTGCTACAGGCGATGTTACGCGCCCATCAGCATGCCCATGAAATCTGATCCGTTCTGAATGGTGATGGGAGCTCCAGCACTGTTGTCCACAAATATGGAGGTGTACTGGCCAGCCTGCAGAGAGAACAAGAGGGAAAGGAAAATATCTGACGCTTCATCGCAGTGTAAAAGGAGGAAAAAAAGCATTTCACTAGCATGAACTAAGCACAGAAGCCTGCTGCCCTTTTCTGCGGCCCCTGGGAACGGGACCTGACCAAATATTTTTACTGCGGCGCTATAGCTTTGACTTGGTGGAAGAAACTTTCTGTAGTGAAACTGTGTTATAGGTTTATTACTTAACTAGATCCTTACTGCACTAGCATCTTTTTGGGTGACTAGTCAAGTGGCCGTCTGTGCTTCAGATTCCCTTCTATGAATTGGGAAATACAACTGCCATCTTGACAATGCAAGGGGAGATTTGAGAAAGACAGATAGTTACTGTCACTCCTTAGAGGGAAGGTTACTTCTGTGGCTTAAGATCAGAATGTGCAACACAAGTCTGGCTTTTGTTCCTGTTCCTGCCACAGATTCTTTCTAGTTATCCCAGGTAAGGCTTTTAACTTCAATTAACCTCAGAAAGAAGGTTAATAAAAACTTCCCCACCTCCTGGTGAGGATTCAGCCTTTCCAGTAAATAACTCCACATCCTGCCAAGCAAACTAGTACGGCGATTCCCAGTCTGCGTGGACTCACCTGCAGCTGCAGTAAGCCATGTACATAGACAGTGAAGATTTTGCTGTTGCTTTCCAGACCAGCAATGACTTCCAAAGACCTAAACAGTAGCAAAAGAAAAGCAAACGGGTTCAACACCTAAAGCAGTCACAGCAGTTGTTGTATGTGGAACAACAAGAGTCTCACAACCTCCCTAGAAATAGGACCTGGTGGTTCTAGTGCCCACCTATACTAAACACGTGGCCTGTTGACTTGATTCTAGCAGTAATCAGCTGCCTTGAAGAGAGAACATTAGAACCTTGTCCTCACTGTAGCAATTGCTGGAAGACCTAAAGAGCATACAGCATTTCAGGATTGTGGTTGCAAAACTCAGCTGAAGGCAGGAACTGGGAGCCACCTTTTCTCACAGAGACCTTTCTCAAGGTCCAGTGGTCTCTATCCCCCACCCTTGAACAGGTGCTAAACACGCCCTTTAGGTTTATTTACATACCAGTTATCCCAGTTTGTCAACCGCTGCAATAGTTCATACTCTTGTTATTGTGCCAAGAGCTAGCTATATGCAATTCTGCCAGTAACAGTTCATTCATTTTCAAATGAAAGGCCTATTTCACCTTAACAATATGTGTTGTCAGCCTGTGCAAGAAAGAACATATTCTGCAGCTGAAAGCTGTTTTGGGAGGACATTTGGATCAGGGATCTCATACAAGCCCCCCAGAAATACTGTGCTTCAGTTAAAATTCCAGGGAGAGCTCCAGATCACCCCTCAAGCATTGTTCTTTTCTAATATCGTGTTCTAATAGCCATCATGTTCCTTGCAGCGGCAAGATGTAGGACAGCTGCCCTCTGTGGCATCCTCTATTTACAGAACTCAAACTCTGCTCCTTTATAGAGGACTCAGGGTGGAAGGAGGTGCCTGAAACATCAGCAGTCAAAACAACCCATGTAAGCTCAGCTCCAAAGCAGTATGCAAGCACAGAGCTATATGCCTGGCTGGCTATTCCGAAATCTGCCTAGCCAGTGGTAGCAGATCCAGTTGTTTTCCCAAGAAAACCAACACCTTTCCTCCCTTTTTTCCATGAAGTGGTGGTGACGAAACCTAGCAAGTGCAAACGTGCTGCTTCTAGCCCCCTTGCAAGGAAATAATATGCATGAAAGGTAGGGGCAATTTGGCCCAGAGAGAGCAAGCCACTTGGCACCACCTTGATTGAAGAGCTCAGTCTGTGTGTCATATCCTGCCAAAAGCCTAACTTGGGTGGGAACTTCCCACCATTAATCTCTTCACCTCCAACTGTCTTCTTGCCTCTGAGTTTCCATCTCTCTCAGCCGAAAGCCCTCAGGGCTCTTTCAGCTCCCTCAAATGACTGTGTACGCTGACATCCCCAGGAAATTCCACAAGCACGGGTAGCAGCTCAGCCTGTGCCAGCAGAATGTCTGTCCAGACAGGTTCCCATCCCTCCACCCATCTTCCTTCCATGACACAGACCAGTCATACTCTCACCCACCATATGAGAGAGAGATGTCCCTCACAGAGCCAGTTACTCCAACTGCTGTCCAACTCCGTCAACTCAGGAGAGCCTTGCAGGACAACCAGTCATAAATTGCAACCCTGGACAACTGATGAAAACTCCTGAGTCAGACATCAGAGAGCTTTATCTAAATGATTAACATCTAGGTCAGTTCTGTCTAAGAAAAGAAAGTTTTTACTGTTACTGTTCTTTGGAGAATAGCTATAAATTCATCAGATGGCAAGTTAATCTCAAAACGTCCCAATAAGCCTGCCTGGGCTGTATGTGACAAAGAGGTTGTTCACACATCCCAGCTAGAACCAGAACAGTCTTCTAGGAGCTTTCAGCTAAAAAGATCTGCAATGAGGAAGGCACGGTAGTTTCCGTGGCCCACAGGGAAGCTTTCTACTCAGATAACTCTTGTGCTTGCATTTACCAGAACAAGGAAGCAAGACTGAAGTCATAGTGAAAGCAACCAGAGATTGACATCCGTTCTTAGTAATATTACTGTAAGGTTGACTGAACGGACAGGAGAGGAGAGAAGGAGACACAGACAGACACTGTCCTTGGAGACAGAAGTGAGCCTTCCAGAAGAAAAACACTTGGTTCTCTTTCAGATGCTTTAATCAAATCAGTTGGGAGCTTGTGGAATCATTAGGAAGAAAAACTCACCACTGTCACTTTCATTTATTTTGCAAAATGGTTTAAATGGAATTTAGATTTTCTGTATGATTCTGTAACTGAAGACAATGTAGAGTGGAGATCAGGATGGGAGAACAGCTTTTCACTCTTGGAGATCTAACAGGATCAATTTCACTTTTAAATCCTCTTAGGTGGCTTCATAAATCTCACCCACTCATTCAGTCAAATCTTTAGTGAAATATCATCAAGTCAACATCACGAACTGGCAATATTTTTCCACATCCCAAAAGCATGTAGAAAAGATTCTGTGGAACTTGCAGTCCCTGTTCATGGGGAATCCAAGGGCTAGGGGCATGAGTCTCTGTTCTTGATGAAATTGCTAAGATAAGAGGAGGTTGTTGTAGGTGAGAATTAAAAACCAACAATGCTGAAGAAAGAAAGAAACCTGTTTACTTGAATCTGACTGGTTTTCAGTATGCAGAGTAAAAGACAGGAATAGGGATCTGCACCGTGCAAAGGCAATTTGTGAGAGCTACTTGTAAAAAGGACAGTAACATTCTGCCCTACTCATACCTATACAAGCCCTGTGGTTAAAGGCCTGGGCTGTCCCAATCACTCATTGTCAACACGCATCCCAGATTTCAAGATCGGGCTGAGGTCCATTCTTAGCATGACCTAAAGGAATTCTCACAACTGCCAGAAATTAAATGTCCCATAAGTTCTGCAGCTTACCAGAATATAATGCATCCCTTCAAGGGGTAAGAAGTTACACCCCCCTTCTTCTGATGACATTCTGACTGCAGCCAGTCTGTCAGTGCTTTGCTTTAAGTGCTGCAACCATAAAAATCATACAAGACTGAGGAGGTGCCAGTTGCTCCAGTCAGCAAGCTCCTCGACTTCACACCAGGTAAGTGGGCGTACAGCTCCCTCTTACCCTAATTCCTAACGGGTGCTCAGATACCAATCAACTCTTTTCCACAGGCCAGTGAAACCTAAGGGAGGTTTATTTATTACATGAGGCTTCACGTCAAATTCACCCACCAGTAAAGCCTCTAAAACTGATATGCCAGTGGAGAGGTCAGTCCTATTTGCAGCACTCTGACTCACGGAGCAGGGAAGGTGAGGGCTGAAGCAGCGCGTCCAGCAGCGAGTTTATGGTCTTGCGGGTTTTAAGTTGCACCTGCAGAGTCGTTTCATGGACGTATTTCAGTGGTGCTATTGCAAGGGTGTTGCCACAGCTGCACTGGAAGAGAGGCAGGAGAGGAAAAGGAG